AAAAACTAAAAAAAAAAAAAAAGTTGTCTTTGAAACGTGTGGGCATGGAGGACACTCAGAATCACAGACTGTTTTCCAGAGACAAGGTATCAGTTTACCTGTAAGAAGAGGCGAATTGCCTTCAGAATTCTTGGCATTTGGATTGCAGCCACTGAGAAGAAGAAAATGGGCATTTTCCAAGAGGCAAGTGCTGACAGCCAAAAAAAGTGGCGTTTCACCGTTGTGCGTGGTTTGCTCCCACATGCTAGGTTTTGAAGCTGAAATAAATCCATTAGCCCACACAGGTTAACATAAATAAGTTTTACATTTATTTCTCAGAAGCATCAGGAAGAGTTGTAAAGGGAATTTACCTTTCAGGGTTATTTCCAAAATGTCCTTATTTAACTGCACTGCAGCCTTATGCAGAGGAAGCCAGCCTATCGCATCTGCTTCATCAAAAGCAGAATGGTGCTTGGTCAAGTGTGACAGTGCATCTCCCTTACCTATTGACAAGTCAAATGGGAACAGATTCACATTTGGCGCGCGCACACACACACACACACACACAAGGCAGCCCATGCTTCTGAAGTCCACCATCGAGCTTAGTGCATGAGATGACAGAGTTCTAGCCCCACGCTTTATGAGAGACACGTTACAATGGCATGGGACGAGAAGCAGTAAGACCTTTCACTTGTGCTCCCTATCCCCCGGGGCCTGTGGCTGCCCCCTTGGGTTGTCACATAGCTCAGTCTGCCCAGGAGCCCAGCAGCGCTCTGCTAAGTTGTGCTGTGGTACTTTCTCGCAGGTCTGGAGAATTAGCGGTGGGCCCCACAGTGTTGAGCATTTGGGAGAACCTGCTTCTGGGCGTCCTGAACTTAGCGGAGTAGTGGCGCCTTGTCAACATCCCACCAAACCAGGAGCTGGAGGGGATAGAATAGGAAGAGTACTTAACTGCCTCTATTGTTTCAATGATCTTCTTGTAGTCCGAGCTCAAAAAGGAATGGAAGCTGCATAGAAAACAAATATATATGTAAGCCCCAAACTGAGGGAAAAACGAAGGCATTTGATAAAAACACAAATGGTAGAGGCAATTGACATTAGCCAAGGATGAACTTTTATATGAGGCAGTTACTGAGGCTTCATGGAAATACTTCCACAGTATAATGTGACCAGAAACGCGCTCCAGGAAAACTGCTCTCCCCTGTCTGTCTTTCTGGGGTGGGGGAGGGGGGCATTCATTATTCCATCTGTCTTAAGCAGCGTTTCCTAATTCCTTCAAGTGCCTGACCAAGTCAGCAAGCCTTCCTACGTACCATATAACTCTTGCGAGTCTAACAACTGACATTTATACCTACAGTTAATTTTAATTTTTCTGAAACATTTCAATCATCAAAATCTTATGCCTTTCAGCCTAAAATCATGACTTAATTACTGAATGAACTTAAAAATTTTTCATCACAAGGTTAATAGAACAGATAATCTAAGAAACCCAATTTCTTTACAAAACTTTAAAGATGACTTTAAAGATTATTCCTAAATGTAACACAAACGTGTAGGAATAGTGTGGTAAAGAAAGTCTAAATAGCTTCAGACTTTGAAGCTAGACTGCCTGCCTCTCACTAGCCCTGGGACCCTGAGTAACACTTACCTGTCTCCTCATCTCTATGTGGGGATAATAGGACTTAACCACATAGGTAATGAGAATCAAATTTAAATGAGTCAAAATTTGTGAAATGCTTAAAATAGTGTGGCACAAAGTGATCAGTCCATGAGTTTGTTACTTTAAAAAAAAAAAACAGTTTTAGTGTACTTCAACATCTCTACATTTAATTATAAAATCTCTTGGAGTTAAAACACATTTATCCAGTTTTACGTCCAGCAGGCAAAAAGAGGTCACCATCCCAAGCAAACAGGGTTTATCACCCCTGAAAAACAATAGTAGCTACTTGGGGGTGAGGCTGCAGATCAGCCAGAGAGCATCTGAGCAGGTGTGCCTGGCTGTGGATGGTCCACCTCTAGCGCGATCCTTTTACACCACGGAGCGACCTGTGGGGTTCTTTCCTAGTGTTGTCATTACAGAACTCTGAATATACACCCTTCAAAAAGGGTTAGTCTCTTCTGGGTTTAAGTTTACATAATTCCTCCTTTTGATTTGAATAAAGACTGGACCTTACCCCATCTTCCCACTGAGGTTGAGGATAATTTTCTATGTGTATTGGTTGGATTTATGCATTCCCTTGGCTCCCCAAAGACAAGATGCATTAGGGTTCTCTAGTGTTTCATATCCTTGTGCATTTTTTCTCATTTCCAGCCTGCAAGTTCTCAGCCAGAGTTGCTGCTAACCTCCTTCAACCGTTTACTCCCTAATTACATTCTGAATTATTTCCAAATTTCCCTGTCTGGCTGGTGAGACATCAAGTCTCATAGATATTTAAATGACAGCTCCTTGGATTTTGACCCTCTCTCCTGTTTTTATCACAACACCGGAACTGTGCTAATGACACGTCTCAACTGTTGAATACTCACACTACATCGCCACTGAGATACCGTTACCTCTCATCTGCAGATGCCTGCTGTGTAGTCCTCAGCTGGTGAATGTCCTGTAAGCTCTGCTGGATGATGAGCTGGGTATCAAAGTCCTCCTCTGTGTCTTCATCACTGGTGTAATTATCCATGTGGAACGCTGACAGATCTAAAGTCAGAATGAATTAAAAATATTTTTCCAGTTGTGAAAACAAGATATTCAAATACTTAAAATTACAAACAAAATTCAGAGAACTACAAAACTGATAGGATTAAGAAAATGCAAAATTTAGGGCGCCTGGGTGGCTCAGTTGGTTAAGCGACTGCCTTCGGCTCAGGTCATGATCCTGGAGTCCCGGGATCGAGTCC